GAGCCCTTTGGACAGAGAAGCAAAAACAGCCAACAACAACTGACCATTAACACACATGATGATATAACCCAGAAACCAACCCAGCTATGGTAGTATCCAAAGTAAATAAATCAACAGGATTGTAAACAGGGAACCAGAGAAATCAATTGACAAATGAAGACAACTATGAAACAAAAAGAGAGAAAAAACTGCATTGTTACAAAACTTCTAGGTGGTAAGAAAGTCAAGACAACTACAAGATAGAATGGACTGTTCTAAACTTGGGAAGAAAACTAGAAATCACAGGGTAACCTCAAAGAAAAATGACAAGCCTTCACATTAAAATAATAATAATAAAAAGGACCGACACAAATATTCAGCAAATACTAAGACAATAGCAACAAAGGAAGTGATAACATGATTCATAAACAAAATGAGCTCAGCACAGAAAATTATATGGAACAAAGAAATTGGCATCACAAAAAAGCACACAACAAAAATGACAGCAATAAATTCATATTTGCTGATAATTATATATCTGGCAAGGGACTTAGCTCTAAGATTTATGGAAAACTCCAACGCCTCAACACCAAAGGGATTAACAATCCAATTGAAAAATGGGCAGAATATATGAATAGAAACTTCACCAAGGAGGATATTCAGATGGCCAGCTAAGACATGAAGAGATGCTCATGATCATTGGCCAGCAGAAAGATGGAAATCAAAACAACAATGAGATACCGTCTCACCCCAGCACTGATGGCAAGGTTCAACGAGACAGAAAATAACAATTGCTGGCAGGGATGTGGAGAGATTGGGACTCTCATACACTGCTGGTGGGACTATGAAATGACACAACCACTATGAAAAGCAATATGGTGATTCCTTAGAAAGCTGGAATTGGAGATACCATTTGACCCAGCAATCCCATTACTAGATATATATCCTAGAGAGGTGAGAGCCAGGACAGGAACAGATATATACACACTCATGTTCATCACAGCACTATTTACAATAGCAGAAAGATGGAAACAACCTACATGTTCATCAGTGGAAGGGTGGATGACCAAACTATGGTACATACACATAATGGAATACTATGCAGCACTAAAGAATAATGTAGAGTCTGCAAAACACCACATAATATGGATGAACTTGGAGGACATTATGCTGAGTGAAGTAAGTCAATCACAGAAGGACAAATATAGTATTAGTTCGTTGTTGCAGAGAGTCAAGGAAAGGTTTATAAATGGAGGGAAATTTTCTTTGTTGGTTGCCAGGGGTGGGAAGGGAGAGGAGGGAACACGGAAAAAAAAAAAAAAATCCATTGACCCATGTCACTTTAGTTTTGTGTATTTCACTGTATATAAATTATATTTCAATAAAACGAATTTTAAAAAAAAGTCAGCTGTTGGGTAAAGTACCTTGTTCCTCAAACGCAATTCCAGTTTCTGAACAAATGACAAATAAGCTATGCTACAGCCCGTCATCCTTATCATCATAGTTGTGGCTTTTGTTGTTATTAGTTGCCACTGAATCAGCTCCGACTTATGGAGACCCCATGAACAAACAGTGTTGCCCGGACTTGTGCATTTTCATGATGATTGGTATGTTCCAATCCCTTGCTGTGGCCACTGTATAGGACAGTGGACAATGTTCTGTTATGATCCATAGGGTTTTCATTGCCTAATACTCAGAAGTAAATCACCAGGTCTTACTCTTCTTTGTCTGTCTTAGTCTGGAAGCTCTGCTGTAACATGTCCATCCTGGGTGATCTTGCTGGTATTTGAAACACCAATGGCATAGCTTCCAGCACCATAGCAACACAAGCCACCAGAGTACAATAAACTGACAGGTGGTGAAATTGTGGCTTATAGGCTTTCACAATCTTTTACCTACCAACACTTCACCTAAGCTTTTCAAATGGAAGTCCAACTCAAAGAAAAACTTGGTTTTCATTTCTGCTGCTACTGTTCACTCTAGAACACATATCCCTGTACTTCTGGGAGGAGAGACTAGGGACCAGATGCAGGTTCTAATTTGTATTCTGATCCCAGTACAAAATGCACCATGCAAGTTTTTGAGAACTTTCCAGACATGAGGCAGTACCATGATGTTGAGGTGTGAGGAAGGCCTGTGGAAAGCTGATGGCACCAATTTAGGAGGATTGAATGAAACGATTTGTGGCCAGGGATCAAATAGTGCTGGGCTCAGCTCTAATGCATCAGCAAAGGTGTTTTCTTTACATTCCACCAGCAACATGGCACTTCTATGTGTGTTTAAAGACATGCTCCCAACTGGCGATCTGACTTGTGGCTCCACTCCTACCTAAAGCCACAACCTCTTCCCCTGAGTTCTCGGAGCCCTTCAGAAAGTGCATTAACTCCACCTTTTAAAATATCTAAACTGGATAAGGCATAATGGTTGTCCCAGAATTCTCACTTAGTTTCTAAAAGATCTGAGCGGGCCAGAGGAATTATGGTTGGGTGCTCACTTTAATTACAAATTGCAGAATAAGGCACTTGCGAAATAAGCCTCTAAGACAGGCTAGTCACCTGTCAAAAACAAACAAGGAAATGTTCAAAGCAACCACAGTTATCTCCAAGACAAATCCAGTCTTCTGCCTAATCAGTTCCTGGAGCTCCCACACCTTGCCACCTGCTCTCCCTGGAGTGTCCCTGTTATAACCACCCTTTGGAACATGATGTCCTTTGTGAGGTGACAATATACACCCACTGAGGGAAGGCTGTCTCATACATCTGCTTGTGTCTCTAGCCCCCAGCACTGAGCCTGTGAGCAGCATGAATCCACAACGGGGATAGTAGCACTGCTTCTTAATTTATCAATTCTATGTGGATCTTCCTTTCTGGAATAGCAAAATTAGCAAAGAGCTGCCTGCCATCATCCCAATTCCCTAGGAAGGTCAAACACCAGACTTGACAACTGATAGACCATCTCTAAACTGTTTTGTGGTACAGTGGTTAAGGCATTTGGCTGCTAACAAAAAGGTCAGTAGTCTGAACCCACCAGCTGTTCTGCAGAAGAAAGCTGAGGCAGTCTGCTTCCATAAAGATTTACAGTCTTGGAAACCCAATGGGGATTGCTATGAGTCAGAATAGACTTCATGGTAGTGAGTTTGGCTTTGAGTTTTTATTGTGCTAAAAAGAAGACATGATTTCTAAAAAACTTAAACCTTATCCAGCAAAACCAAAGCAGAGACAAAGAAGGAGTTAGATTTTCACAGGATAGACAGAACTTGAATGGTGAAGTGAGAATTATTTTATACTACGAAGGGCCAACATCAGGATGGGTATGGGACTATCCAGAGGTCACTGTGCCCCAGCACCAGAAGCTCTGCTGCCTCCTCCACCCTGACTCCAGCCAGTTCCACGAGGTGGGCCAGAAAGTTCCCTGACAATAAACTCAAGAGCACATTTGAAAATGTCCCCAACTAAGTGGAAACATAAGATGATCCAAGGAAGGTATTTACTTGGACTCCATCTTGCTCCCCAAGGACTCTGAAAATCTGTAGCACTAGGTAAGCCCTTTGGTCCTCTAACAATTACCCAGAACCCTCGGTGAAGAGTGAAGCCAGAAGGGTTCTGTATAAGGGCCGTACAGTATGCATGCCCACTGCCCTGGGTTTAGATCCTGGCTCTGCCACTAGCTAGTTTCTGACCTTGGGCAAGTTATTGGACATCCTTATGCCTAAGTTTCTCTAAAATGGAGATAATAAGATTATCTGTCTAACTGTTTTGTTTTAGGAGTAAATAAATTTCACAGAGTAGCCCTCAAAGGACATATGCTGGCACAAGACTAAGCTCTACAAGTCAGAATCAACTCGACAACGAGTGCATGCCTCTGGTTGTTAAGTGCTGACCAGTAGATTTGGACTCATAGGTACCCCATGTGTCAGAGTACAACTGCCCCACAAGGTTTTCTTGGCTGCAATCTTTATAGAGCTGCTGAGTAGGTTTCAGTCAGCAGCTGAACTGAATAGCTTAACTATTATACTACCAGGGCTCCTTACATAAGTGTTCTTGTTGTTGTTGTAAGGTGTCGTCGGGTCAATTCCAACTCACAGCAACCCTACATACAACAGAACAAAACACTGCCCGGTCCTGCACTATCCTCACAATCCTTGCTATGCCTGAGCCCATTCTTGCAGCCACTGTCACTCTATTTCACTGAGTATCTCCCCCTTTTTCTCTGACCCTCGACTTTACCAAGCATGATAGACTTCTCATAAGTGTGAGCTGTTGCTAATATATAATTAATATTAATGCTGTTACACAAAAACACTTACATGCACAAATGAGTAAACGGGGAGCATCAATGTTGGGTCAACACCAGAAATGTCTATAAGTCTATCTCCCCTTCCTCATCAGGGCTGGCCCCAAACAAAGCCAGCAGCCCAGTTAAGTTCCCCCACACTGCAGCCCATGAAAGTGCTGCCATCAGGAGACAGCCCCAAATATAAGAAACATCTCACTTGTCCCACTTCTGCTCTGTACCTTCTATAGTTTCTGCTCCACAACCTTCTGGGCCTAGCTTTTTAGATGCCAAGACTGTTGCTTCAGACCTTTACCCTTTCTAAAGCAGGAAAATGAAAAGAGAAACTGAATTTTGTAAATAGGAGCCCTTGGATAGCACAGATGGTTAAGCACCTGATTATGAACTGAAAGATTGGCAGTTCAAACCCACCCAGAGCAAAGGCACCTCAGAAAACAGGCCTGATGATCTGCTTCTGAAGGTCACAGCTTTGAAAGCCCGATAACCCACTGCCATTGAGTTGATTCCAAGTCATAGTGACCCCCTTTGGGTTTCCAAGGCTCTAAATCCTTACAGAAGTAAATTGCCTCATCATCCTCCAGCAGAGAAGCTGGTAGGTTTGAACCACCGAACTTTTGGTTAACAGCCAAATGCCTTGCCCATTATATCACTACAGCTACACTGCACACATAGGGTTGCCATGAATTGGAATTGAGTCGAGAGGCAATTAACAGCAACAAAGCTTTGCAAATGAGTAGTAGTGGGGTTTTTCCTTGCGTGTGTGGAGCTACAGGGCTAGCGTTCTGTGGGGGCTGACTTGAAATGGCAATCTAGCTCTTCTGCACAATCTGGGGATTCCCAAAGGAGTTTCTAGGCATTCGATGGGGAAAGAAGTAACAAAGACTGATACATGTCATCTTCGTCTATGCCACTGTTTCCCAACTTCATCCCACCACTGCAGCCAAGGAGGAAGTTACAGAAGAGGACGAGTGATGCAGAAAACAGTGCAGAAGGCTGCTTCAAAGTGTCTGAAGGCTGACAGACTCAGAATCCTAGAATGTTAGCACTGGAAGGAATCTTAGAAATTCAATCCTTTTCCCACAGATGTATAAACTAAAGCCAAGAGAAGTTAAACTAAGGCCAGGAGAGGTTAAGGATTAGCCCAGGACAACCAGCCACTGAGAGTCCAGGGATAAGACCCACATGTCTAACCACCAGCAACGCTGTAAGGTTTCAGTGCAAGAATAACAGGGAAAGCAGGGTCAAGGGCGCTGGCTCACATACTTTGGAAATGTTATGAGGTGAGACCAGTCCCTGGCGAAGGACATCATGCTTGGAAGAGGAGAGAATCAGTGGAAAAGTAGAAGACCCTCACAAGATAGATTGAAAAAAAAAAAAAAAGATGGATTGACACAGTGGCTAACACAATGGGCTCGAACATAGCAACAACTGTGAGTATGGCACAGGACGGGGCAGTGTTTCATTGAGTGGTACACAGCGCTGCTATGAGTCGGACCTGACTCAATGGCATCTAACAATAACAGGGCCGCTTGGCAGGTAGCTTGTGACAGAAGTCTCTCAGGCTGCCTCCAAAGTTCTCTCTTTCTCCTTAATTTGCTGTATGATCTCACTGAAGTTCAGTATTTAATGTCCTAATGATTTTTGCTAAATACTGAGTTGCTGGGAGTGAGGAGAAATGATGAGAACAAGAACTGCTACCAGCTTAGCACAGCAGCAGCAGCAGCAGTGTGTGTGTGTGTGTGGTGTGTGTGCGTGTATATGTGTGAGAGAGAGAGAGAGAATGAGAACTGAGACCAAGACCAGGGCAGGCCAGTGGAGACTTAATGCAACAGCCACTGTGACATGAGCAAGCACATGCATGATGGCTACCCACCTACAGTGACCTGGACGGGCTCCATGCTCTGGCTCTGTCCTTCTTCATTTTCCGAGGCATCCTGGCCCACATTCAAGGTGTTTCGTTTCTTAACATGGGCAACAACAAAGAAGCATAATCCCACAAGTACAATCAAGGGCCCCATGATTTGCAGAGTCAGGAACCCACAGATCTGGTGTTCAGTGTCCATGGCAACTGTCTCATTCAGTGGCTCTTGCTCCCAGTCTGAGCCACATCCAGGGACCCAAATGCCCAGTATGCTGATCAGCAGGCCGCTTGTCAGGAAGAGAAACCCAAAGATGAGGCATTGGACAAACTGGCGACTCTCTCCACAGATGAAGGCTCGGTCTGGGTCTGCCTGGTTGCCTCGCTGCTGCCCCTCCAGGAACTGAAGTCGTGCCCGGGAACGGGCAAGGATCACAGCTCCCAGGCCAACCACGGCACAGGAGGGCCCGGCGACCTTCAGCACCAGGCTGCAGTTGACCAGAGCTTCATTTCGGCATGCTTGGAACCCAAAGATGGACAGCAGGACTCCCACACACAACAGGATGGCGCCAAAGACAAAGAGGAAGAAAATGAGCTTGCTGACATGCCTGTTGTGTTGGTCCTCAGTGGGCTCTGCAGCAGCCACAGGAGACATGGTCAGAAGCAGCCCCTTCCCTGAGGTGGGGTGGGATGTGTTTCCTTCCTGTTGATGCTTTCAACAGCCCTGCAAACACAGCCAAACACAAAATTAAAGTGGGTACAAGTGTTCCTGACCCACCCTGTCCTTTTGCTAGCCATTTCAGAAATCAAACAGGATGAAATCATAGAGGGACAGAACCTCATGCAACTGATACACTTTAGAATAATTAGTTGGCTTATGAGTCAGAACAAATGGCATGTGGAAACTCCTTAATAGGCAATTTTATGAAGATATTCAAGAAAAGGAAATGCAATCACTAAGCATCTGAGATAACAGAATCTTTGAAAAGCAAAACAACAAAAATAACTGGGAGTAGCTTTTCCTGTTATGAGCTTCACAAACTCACTTCCCCAAAAAAACAAAAAACAATGGCAAGTGAGGGAAGAACCAGAAGGATTATTTCTGATTCACAGATGCCTCACATTTCACTACAGCTGTTCTGAGCATTTCCAAGTCAGTAAATTTTCGTTCAGTAACTAACTTTCCACTTCCTGCCTTAGATTGTGGCAACTTTCCATTCCGTGCTTTATTCCCAGGCTACATCTACAGGAGACCCAAGCTCAGCAGGGTCAAATGAAGTTTCAAAGGGAAAGACAGTTCAAGAACACAGCATGTAACCGACTCATTCATTCATTCTGTCAAAATGAGATGCTTAGGTTCTCCATAGGCCCTGGGGCTGCCCTGCCTGAAATCAGATGGCCTACTTGTTTGGAGAGTCTGGCACAGTGGTCAAGGGGAGCCCCGTCTCCAAGGCAGGTGGGTTCCATCTTGCTTACCTTCCTCCACGGTGCCACTGCTTCCACAAAGAGGTTGAGGCTCAGTTAAAAATGAGCAGCTGAGGAGGGCTATCAAATGATATAACCACTGTGGAAAGCAGTATGGTGACTCCTTAAAAAGTTGGAATTAGAAATACCATTTGACCCAGCAATCCCTTACTAGGTATATATCCTAAAGAAGTGAGAGCCAGGACAAGAACAGATATATGCACACCCATGTTCATAACAGCACTAATTACAATAGCCAGAAGATGGAAACAACCTAGGTGTCCATCAACAGAAGAGTGGATAACCAAACTATGGTACATATGCACAACTGAATACTATGCAACACTAAGGAATAATGTAGAATCTGCAAAACACCTCATAACATGGATGAACTTGGAGGACATTATGCTGAGTGAAATTAGTCAATCACAGAAGGACAAATACTGTATTAGTCTGTTTGTAAAAAGTCAAGGAGAGGTTTATATATGGAAGGAAATTTTCTTTATTGGTTACCAGGGGTGGGAGGGTGGGAGGGAACACTGTTAGGTAGAGACAAGTATTGATTTGGGTAAAGAGAAGGGCAATGTACCAAATGTGAGTGATCAACACGGTGGCACTGAGCAAGAGGAAGACATAGAGAGGTGCACAGGAGGTACAGACAACAAAGATGAACCTTTTGCACATACAGTAATGCATTGTCAGTGATGGTAAACATTGATATATGGGTAGATAGATGGGTGGACAGGCTGAATGATTAGGTAAGTCTGTGCAGGGAGGATTGTGCTCATGACTATGGATATGGTTGACCGACAATGTTTCTACAAGTGTATTTTTATGTTCTGTAAGAATTCCTGTTGTGAGTTCCGGTAAGATGGTGGACTAGGCAGAAGGATAGCACAGACCCTCTTCAACAAAGAAAAGGGAAACCAATTAACACAGACACAGAAGATAATCGTGGACCCCTGAGCCTTGAAGGGAAGGATACAGA